AACCCTTACCCCTTCTTATTTCAGTGGCACCACTCTAACTAGGACTCCGTGACCATTTCCATTACAAACTCCTCTTTCCATGTTTTATCATCTTTGCAGTGTCAATTCCCACCATGTTGAAACTCGATCTGCAACTTGTCAGCCCAGGTGTCAATTGTTCTGTATTTATTTTATATTGTGTAAAAACAGAGACCAGTTCTGCTGCCACTGAAATCACCATGTAAAGTCATGCCATTGGCTTCAACGGAAGCAGGACAGGATCCATAATTGGCCACGGAATCAGGTACTGCACTTGTGCACGTATGTACTGTAGCTGATCACTGAAACAAACTACAAAGGGAAAAGACAGTTACCTGTTCCCTAACTGGTGTTCTTTGAGATGTGTTGCCCATGTCCATTTCACATTAGGTGTGTGTGCTCACCACATACGCCGGGGCCGGAAATTTCTCCCTCAGCAGTATCCGAAGGCAAGCGGCTCTGGCACCCTCTGGAGTGGTGCCCACATGGTGCGGTATAAGGGGCACCGCTGGCTTCCCCGACCCTCAGTCTCTTCTTGACGGGAACTCCGACAGTGGGGAAGGAAGGTGGGTCATGGAATGGACATGAGCAACATCTCTCAAAGAACACCAGTTACGGAACAGGTAACTGTCTTTTCTTCTTCGAGGGCTTGCTCATGTCCATTCCGCATTAGGTGACTCCCAGCAGTTCCCATGGAAGCGGGTAGGAGTTCACGGCTGCGCAGATTGTAATACAGCTCTGCCGAACCCAGCGTCATCTCTGGACTGCTGGGTGATGGCATAATGAGACGTGAACGTGTGGACCGAGGACCATGTCGCATCTCTACAGATGTACTGGATCGGGATGTGCGCCAGGAAGGCCACGGAAGACACCTGTGCTCTAGTTGAATGGGCCCTGACGATCGGTGGCAGCAGGACCTTTGCTAGCTCATAACAGGTCTTTATGCAAGAGGTGATCCAGTTGGAAATCCTCTGCAAAGAAAACGGAAGGCCCTTCACCCTATCCGCTGTAGCGATGAAGAGCTGGGTTGATTTACGGAAAGGCTTGGTATGCGCCAAGTAAAAAGCCAAGGCCCTCCGGATGTCCAGACGCCTCTCCTCAGCAGTCCTGTGCGGCTTGGGACAGAACACGGGCAGGAATACATCCTGGCTCATGTGGAAGGAAGATACCACCTTCGACGGGAAGGCTGGGTGGAGCTGCAGCTGGACTTTGTCCTTATAAAACACTGTGTAAGGCGGTTCCAAGGTCAAGCCCTTAATCTCTGAGACACATCTTGCCGACATCCCCGCCACCAGGAAAACTACCTTCCAGGACAAGTAAGAAAGGGAGCAGGAGCCCAGCAGCTCGAAAGGCAGGACGGTGAGCCTGGAGAGGACCAGGTTAAGGTCCCACTGTGGGACACGGGCCCAAACCTGGGGGTAAAGCCTCTCGAGGCCCCTCAGGAACCTGACAGTCATGTCATGAGAAAAGACCGTCTGACCTTGGATCGGCTGGTGGAACGCAGAGATGGCCACAAGGTGCACTCTGATGGAAGAATGCACCAGTTGGTTCCTGCGCTGGTTCCTGAGCTGCAGTATGCACTGAAGAATGTGAGGGAGAATTACTGCGCTCTGACACCCAGTGGGAAAACCTTGTCCACTTGGTCAGGTAAGTTAGTCTTGTGAATGGCTTCCTACTTCCCAGGAGGACCTGCTGGACCTCCTCCGAGCAGGTACACTCCTCTGGGTTCAACCACGGAGCATCCACTCCAAGAGGTGTAGAGACTCGAGGTTGGGGTGTAGGAGCCAACCGTGATTGTGTGACAGCAGTAGGGAAGGTGCCAGGGAGGGACCACCGCCATGTTCATGAGCATGTGGAACCAGTGCTGGTGAGGGGAAACGCGGACACTTCCGCGATGAGGCCTGTCAGGGCCTGAAACCTGACAAACGATAGGAATGCTCTCGCCCAGATCGAGTCGAGCCTGGCCCCAATGAATTCTATCCTTTGAACTGGAATTAACATGGACTTTTTGTGGTTGACCAGTAGTCCCAAAGAGCAGTGACGTCATGTTGGACCTGAGCCTTGGAGTTGCCTTTGACCAGCCAATCGTTGAGGTACGGGTAAATCTGGATGCCCCGACGCCTGTAAGAGCCCCTGAACCTCCTGCTCAAGAAGACTCTCGTGAGAAGGGTCCCTGAAGTTGATGAAGGCCCACCTCTGTGTCCAGGCTTCCAGGCAAGGAACAGGGTGGGCTGCATCCCTCGACATGAGCCGAGGCTCGACTTCCCGACGAGGGAGATAAGCTGCCCAGCGTTGGTCTTAGCTCACCCCCAGCCCTGTCCTTCCCCTTGCGGGGAGTAGGAGACCATCCTCCACCGGCCTTCAATTTCTTGGCCGGAGCCATGGACGGGGATCGGTGCCGGCTTGTTGACGGCGCAGCACTACGCACCGATGCCGTGGCGCTGGGTGCTGAGTCGGACCTTTGCTCCGGGGCTAGAGGGAGCGCCGACTCCATCAGGAGTGCTCTGAGTCTGATCTCAAGCTCTTAGTCCTAGGTTTAAAGGACTTGCAGATTTGACGCTTATCACTTATGTGCCCTTCACCAAGGCACCTGAGACAGCTACTATGCAGATCACTCACGGGCATGGGCCATTTACAGCAATCGCAGGGGTTAAAGCCTGGGACTAACAAAACTCTAAACTACTGCTAAGGGCTAACTAACTCAACTACTAACTATGTATACTAACTTTACAAGACCTCTAGTTCGTACAAACGAAGCCTAAGCAATGCTAGTAAGAGCAGCGAACGTTCCATGCACCGTCACTGGCGGCAAGAAGGAACTGAGGGTCGGGGAAGCCAGCGGCGCTCCTTATACCGCATCATGTGGGCGTCACTCCAGAGGGCAGCAGAGCCGCTCTCCTACGGATACTACTGAGAGAAAAACTTCCAGCACCGGTGCATGTGGCGAGCACACACACCTAATGTGGAATAGACATGAGCAAGCACTCGAAGAAGAAGTGGTAGATTCTCCAAGATGTCTTCAAATCAAGTCTAGATGCTTTTCTGGAAGATGTGTAACAACAAGTTGTGCTTTAGTCAAAACACAAGTTACTGGGCTTAATACATGGGGGAACTGGATTAAATGTGATATGCAGGTCAGACTAGATGATTTAATGGTCCCTTCTGGCCTTATACATTGTGATTCTTACTCATCGAAGCTACTTAGCGTTACATGATGTTTGCAAGAGGACAAGCCCAAGCATGTGTTGTGCCATGGCTACTGTAATACAAAGTATCTTTGCTTTTGCAGAGATGTAGGTCAGAAACTTCAGGTTAGTTTAAAACATTGCTTTGTACTGCAAATAGTATTCCTAAACTCACATATGTCACGTAATATGATGTCCACATATTGCAGCATAAGCTCTTCTTTACAAGCATACTGTAAAGCATGAGGGGGTTTGATGTATCCCAGTGTGCAAAGATTTTCGTTATGCATCAGGCCAATTTAAAATCAAACCAAAAGGAGAAACAAAACAGCTCTATTCCTTGGACTGTGAGCTTCTCAGGGCAGGGTCTGCCCTGATCGAATGTCTGAAAAATACCTAAGACATCCTAGGCACCCCTTAAGCAAACAATAATAATATCCACATTCCAAGGGAAGGCATACCGTGTTGCTGACATAAACCACAGGAACAGCCATAGATTGCAATATTCACTTGAACTCCATGAATTTCATCCTGCCTGAATAGATTTTTTTTTTTTGGCAACAAAGAGCTAAAGAACACATTATCCATAAATCTATTTTAATTTGAAACAGAAGAGAATGCGTCGGGATTTTTTCCTTAACATGTATTTTAATAAATAAATAAATAAATAAATAAATAAATAAAAATAGCTCTAATTCTTTGATACATTTAATCATTCTGTAAAATTCTAAATTTAAAATGAAATCATCATTTTATATTCAAAGAAGGTCAAGAGAACAGCACTGACATCACAGCGAACGGCAGCCACCGCTTAACGGTTACATCAGTGTTGCTTGTTGCTATGGTGCTTAACCGACTATTGATTTCTGAAAGAAGGTGATTATAAAGCAGCCATATGAACCTCAGTCAGATGACACCACTTCAACACCAAACACTGACATGTGTTACTCCTGTCTTCTGCAAGTTAATTTTATGAATCACTACTTTTGTGATGTTAATATTCCTTTCTAACTTTAAACTTACAGAACTCAACAAAAAGAAAGGCAAGGAGTTAAGGTAGAAGTAAAGGATTTTCATATTGTTTTTAAAAAAGAATGCTTTCAGGGAGCTGATTTTCTTTTGTTTTGGTTTGGTTTTGCTATGTCCCAAAAGACCAAAAAGCATGTATTTCAACTGTTACAAGAATAAGAAGTAGTAACCAGATTAAGAGCCAAATTCTGCTCTTACACTGTTGTGTTAGCCCAAATCAAAGCAGCCATAATGCCAATTTGACCATCCCTTGGGATTCATCTTATGTAATGGAGTCTTCAGCTGGCTAGGAGACTGAAACAACTCTGCCACCCCTCAGAGGAGTGGGGAGGACTGGGGCATCTTTGAGAGAAAGAGGGCATGACAGGATTCCCAGCTGCAAGGAGAGCCAGTTGGATAATAGACAGCCAACATAAATTAGAGAAGATTACTCTCATTTAGACCGAGGACAAGATTGGTGGCCAAATGGCCCCAGAGGCAGCTGGGTGTGAGCCAGAAGGACCACCTATGTGTTTCTTTCCCTACGTTTCAACTGAGGGTCTAACCCATTGGTTTAGCTGGAGATGAACATGGTTTAAAAGTTAGGGCAGAATATGGTTAGAAAACTTTGTTAGAGCCCAATCCTACAGTCCTTACTCACGCAAGTATTCCCATTTAAATCCAGGGGCTACTTCCGCAAGTAAGGAATATTCATGGGTTTTGCAGGATTGGGCCCATATATAGGCAGGTCAAGCTATACAAACTAAGTGCAAAATGGTATTTGTATTTACCTACTTTGGTTGCTTCTGCAAAGCAATCTTCAGTTACAGCCACCCAAAAAGGTCACTCTTCTTACCCTGGAGACAAAGAGGATACCACAATGTCATTGGCAGATCAGTGCTAGCGACAACATCTGAAGCATTTTCATTGTTACCACATTAGCAAGTACAAACATAAATAAAACAACAAATGAATTCAATTGTGTTTAATGGTGAATGACTTTCAGAGAGAGTTAATAAAAACAATAAAGTCACAGGACTGCTGCTTATCAGTACCAGCCAGCGTGAGGCTCTTCGGTTCAACAAGAACAATGTGGTGTTTGGGGGGGGGGGAAGGGAGGGAGAGGAAAAAAATCCCTGAAGATGAGACATCTTTGTTCTCTACCATAAACTTTCTTAATCTTGATGTCTATCAATTTAGTTTCACTTTGAATAATATATGACTCACGTCCTTTGTTTCAGAACCCAGACTTGCTTGAATAGGTCTCTGCTTAGTTAATTATTTTGTGTGTGTTTGTAACCCCTGTAATTCTATTTATGTACTCTCTCTCCTCCCCTCCCCTCTCTTCCCCTTTCCAAAAGATACAGTTCTGGAGCAGATGCATCTTTCATGCTTAATTCAGAAAGTATTTTACTTGTATTTGGGGTGTTTGTGTCCTCTTTTTACACCAAGTGCAGAGGGTTAAGAAGAAAAATGGGTGTCAGTAAAAAATAGAGCAGAAAAGAAGAACAACAGCAAGTGTGTTACAACGTATATCGCTGCATCTTGTGTACTCTCTCTTATGCAAAACACTATGTAATCCTTTAAGAAACATGACAATCTGCCACTTTCTGTTCATGTAATTGGGATCAACATATGGTACAAGAGAAAAGAAAAACATTTGTTTATTAATTTAGATCAAGTTACTAACAGTGTTTAGAATTAATTCCATGTCAATTGACCAAAAGCGTTAATAGAATAAATCTAACATAATTTCACTGAAATGTTGATTTTCTGAACAGTGTGCCGAAGAACACACAATATCTAATATGTTAATTCAGTAGAGACAGACAAATATGCAAGCATTTGCTGATCTTGACAATAAAACATGAAACAGAAACTCAACGAAATTTTGGTGTGTGAAATAATAAGGCTGCATAAAACTTTGTTTCACAAAATTCACACAGTAAAGGTGGGGTCTCTTGGAAGTGTTTGTGAAACTGATCAACTGACAGAGTATGCCATTTCCAGGATCTGGTGCAGCTTTTTGCCATCCATTTCACTCTGGGGTAAAAATCAGAATTTTCACCAAAGCCTTTCAGAAGGAAATTCACTTAATTACCATTTATTTTGCAAAGACAGAATTTTCATAATTACATGTCACCTTTTCACCGCTGAAAAATGACATTTTTAGTAAGACAAAAATGTTTAAAATCAAGATGAAAATGGAAAGTACTGTATTTTGATTTTTTGCTAATTTGCAAAAATTAGAAGAGTTTTTAATACACGTCTAATGAGAAGTTTTACATAGTTCTAATAATAAAATATCGGAGACTAAGGTCCAAGACCTATAAGTGCTTGCAAGCAGTCCCACTGGCTTCAATGGGATTACTTCTGTAAGTAAAGATTTTCTAGATTGAGGCCTGAAAAGACAGGCACAATACTACTGTATAATAGGCAGGTCTCACTTTCACTACACTATGTAAAACATCAAAACCTTGCAAGTAAAATACATGAACGCTGACATACTATTTACTGTTAGAGTCACAGCAATAAAGGTTTTTATTCCACTTTGCTGTAAATGTGATCTTGATCTAGGGTGACCAGATAGAAAATGTGAAAAATCAGGACGGGGTAGGGGGTAATAGGCGCCTATATAAGAAAAAGCCCCGAATATCAGGACTGTCCCTATAAAATCGGGACATCTGGTCACCCTATCTTGATCAGGTTCTTTAAATCTATTTTCATGTTTATCAGTTTTATTGTATCTATTTTCTGGATGGTTCAGGCAAACCTGTGGTATTACACTTTGCAACACAGAATACATTTGCAGGACACAAGTAGACCATATTAAAATTGAATTTTTAAAAAACCAAAGTAGCTGAACATGACTACTTCGAATAAAGTTCTCTCTTGGTAATGTCTCAAATCACATGTAACATTTGCCTATTTTTCTAAACACCTGTGGAGCATATTCAGTACACAGCTACAAAAAAAACCCCAAACTAGTGTTTGCTCAAGGGAGGCGAGCATGGTCTAGCAACTTGAACACAGGGCTGGAAGCTAAGATGATTATTTCAGTTCTACCACTGACTGGGTATGTGATCTTGGGCTTAGGTCTACATTTTCCAAAAAAGACAAGTTTGAGCTGCCTGAGAACCCCAAAACTTTGACATGCAAATTTAGACCCCTATCCTGCAAACATCTGTACACATGAGTAACTTTATGTATGCAGGTAGTCTCACTGACTTTAATGGCACTGCAGACATGAGTAAAGTTACTAACAAGTGTAAGTATTTGCAGGATGGGGATTTTAGTAGACATGATTGAAATGTTTGGCCTTAACCACTCTGCATCTCAGTTTATCCACCGGTGAGACGGGGAGAATGCAGGAAATGCCTATCTTTGCAATGCACTTGGAGATCTTTGGCTAAAAGTTATTTTTTTTAATATAAATTAAAAAAAAAAAAATTAGGGGGGAAAAAAAATAAAAATAAAAAAAAAAAAAAAAAAAAAAACACAGTGCCGGCAACGATTCTCAATGGATTAAGAGCCTGATCCAGTGCCTACTGATGTCAGCGGAAAGCCTCCCATTGATTTCAGTGGGACTTGGATTGGGTTCTGACTAGTCACACTGGCCCTGAGTCTGCTCCCACTGAAGTCAAAATAAGCTTTGCCATTGAGCTCACAGTAGGATTGTACCCTACTAGCTTCATCCTGCAACCTTTACTCACGCGGGTAGTTTCTTCAGTGGGACTAATCGTATCCGTAAGAGCGAGTTGTGTGAGTGCTGCAGGATGGGGCCCAAATTGTGAGTGATGATTATAAAGCTATATTCAATCAATAATCTAAATCAGACATTGAAATCGAGGGGCCTGGGGAAGAAGATTGTACTAATTATACAGTAGTACTCTATAGTACTAGAGCATATGTGGCATTGTACAGAATCCAAAATGTGATGAACAAAGTCCCTCCTCCCTCACATACTGGCTCCCTTGAGTAACTTTACACAGGTGAGTAGTATCTCAATGAGACTTCTCACTTGCAGAAAGTTGCTTACGGGCATAAGTGTTTGCAGGATAAGGGCCAACATCCCTGCCTTGAAGAGCCTACAAGGGATAAATATGATTAGAAACCAAAACCTCTGGGGAAAAACTCCATTTCAATACCTAGAAAGCAGTCTTTCTTTTTAAGACAGTTTCAGAAATCTGATTTAGTATTTATTGATGGATTGATTTTGGTTAGCGACAACTTTAGTTTCACAACTGAATATATTAACTGAACATTTCTGTTTTAATTATTTACTGCAAGGCTTCCTAGAAGCACTGAAATATAAACACCTCAGAACCACAATTGGCATTTTTTAAATTGTGAGGTCCAATAATGGAATAATACAGACTATTTTTTCCTTCAAATCTAACCAAGTTATAGTTAAGTCTAAACAACTAGGCTGATATTTGCCTTCATTATCTATTATCTTTATGATTTTATTTTGTTTTGGAGTGTGGGGGGGAGCTTAGTTTGAAAAAAAAATTAAGGGCTGCAAAGAAGCCAAAAATGAATTAATGTACTTTTATATCCTATTTGTTAATAGTTCAACTTTTTTTTAATTTAGAGAATCTGATGTGCATAATGATTTTGCTAAACAATGACTAGTAAAGAGGTGCTCATAGGCCTTCATCAGAAATGGCCTCTTAAACCAGAGTTGAAGTCTGAGAACCTAAAAAATTTTAAAAATTGAATAACTTAAAGACTACAATATAGAAGTGCTTCCACAATAGTTATCAGGATGGTGATTTTTTTTATTCTGCGATATATATTGACTGTTATGAGATACTGTAGGCGCCATATTCTGACCCAGGTGTCATTATTACCTATTTGGAAAGTGAAATGTAGGTGGAAATGCAAAGTGTGTAAGGCAGGGTGCGTTTATTCACCTGGTCTTTGAAGAAGGGTAGATGGATTGTGCCACAGACAAATGTATAGTGTTTGTATTTGCTGATGTGCTGCTGTTTGGTGGAAGAAGTGAGCTGCTCATATTGCACTTTGAGCATCCAGCAAATTATTAAAAATCAAAGCCCACATGTGGGCACTTTTTATTTTTCTAAAATTGAAATAAAATAAATATCATGAGGATAAAGCTAAGCACTGAAAATTTCCTCCATTTAAAATAATATTATTAAATTTCATTTCTATCACAATGTTGGAAAAGAAACACTCAGTTTTGACCAACATCCCTATACTAACCACAGTTCATGTAAATTTTTTTTAATCAACTATCATATATAATACAAGTACAGCTAACAGGCAAGTTAAGTACACATTGCTTACAGTACAAAATTTGAACTATGGTCATAAGTCTAGCATCTTTCACTGATAGACTGGTTATTTGACTCATATAAATTACTTAGCATAAGAGAGCTACTAGCCCTTTTTGGTTTCTTCAGACTTAAGGACCATAACATGTTCCCAGAAAGTATCAAACCTGTCAAAGGTCCAATCAAATGATAAGAGAACATCTTATAGAATGTTAAGAGAGCAAAATGATCAAATCTTACAGTGCATTTTAGCCTTGCAACGTCTTCACAATTTCTTAAAATGACTCTCCATACATTAGTTAATGCCAACCATTAACCATTTTGAGGCTGTGTTATAAGTATCATCTTGAAACTTGACCTCACATGTAACTGAAGTAGTAATATGAAAGATTCCTCCCCAACCACTATGGAGCAGCCACTGAATCTGTAGTCTTACAGTGTTACTCTGGCAACATTTAAAGACAAAAAAGTGTTACTTTCAGTACCCACAACTGTGAACTCTACCTTTCAAAACTACACACTTCTGAACCCAAAACTACACAATTCTGAACACACTTCCA